CGATGACGAGCGCGTTGCGCAGGCGCTTCCCCTCGGTGCGGCCCGCCGTCGCCAAAAGGTCCCCGAGCCGCGCGTGGATCACGAGTCGAACGTCGCCGGCGGCCGCGCCGCAGGCTCCCGCGAACGCGCCGCGGTCGAGGGACGCGTAGGTCTCGGCGACGGCGCGCCGGTCCCACGCGGCGTCGCCCGCCGGCGGGAGCGCGTCGAAGCCGAACCACGCGTCGAAGGGCGGCGACGCGTAGCACTCGAAGTGGTTTCGGAAGAGGTCGTCGCCAGTCGCGTACCGCGCCTGGCAGGAAAAGGGTGCGAATTTCTCCATTTCAAAGGCTCCTTTCTCGGCCGATTTCCACTCGTTTCGGCTGATTTTTGGACGAGCGATCATCTCTCGGAGCGCTCTCGAAGCTTGGATGCTTTTTCTAGAACGCGCGCGCGCGAAACACTCACATTGAAGCGACGTTGAATCACCCTTTTCCTGCCCCGTACCGCGCCGCGAGGTACGCGCGGAACGCGTCCGCGCCCTCGACGCACCCCTCCTCGTGCGTCGCCTCGAAGTCCTGCTTCACCGTGCCTCGCTGGTGGCAGTAGAGCGACGGCGCGAAGCCGTCGCCGAGGCCCGGCGCGAAGCCGTCGCCGAGGCCCGCGACGTCGCGGAGGTAGACGCCGAAGACGCTCGCGGATTCGCCGAAGAACCGCGGCGGCAGCCGCTCGCCGCGGCGCGCGGCGATCGCCTCCGCGATGGCGCGGCCGAAGTGGCCGAGGCCGTCGATGCCCTTGTCCCGCTCCCGCTTGCGACCGCCCCAAAAAACGTCGGCGCCGCGACGCCGGCACGCCGCCGGGAACACAGGCAGTTCCGCGGCCAACAGGTTGAGGCACGGGTTCACGCGCCGCACGTCGTCGCGCACCGGCATGTCGCAGACGTGCTTCGACACGAGCGCGAACTCGGGCACGATGGCCGGCGCCGTGAGCGCGAGGCGCCACCTGGCAGGAGGTGTTGGTCATCCGGTCCACGAAGTGCGCAGTTCCCGCCGTCGCAGGACCTGGCCCGCCGCGTCGACGCGTCGCTCGTCCTCGATGAATCTCTCCGACGAGTACGACTCCGACGACGTCTTGTACCGGCCCGCGAGCTCGAGGCTCAAGTGCTTGCCACT